GGTGGCAAGCGGCCCGAGCTGCAAAAGACTTCGGCGTAGCACCCCCTGGGGCCACGAACCCAAAAAAGGATGTGCTGACATGGTTTGGGCGGCGGTACGCCTCCTTGGCTACGAGAATACTCGGTTCCGCCTTCAGCCACGAACCGTGTGGGGTGCGTACTGGGCTGGCGTCGGGCAGCGGACAGCGGCCTGCGCCACGGAGGCCTTCAGCGGGGCCCTGGGCCACGAATCGTTCGAACGGCGCGCGGGGACTGCCTTGGAGGAGACTAAGCGAAGATCCACCATGCAAAAAAAAAATCTATGAAGAGAAGCTGGAGACAGGAGAATTAGCACAAAACGACTGCCTCCAAGAGCCCAATCTCACTACTCTTCCGATGGTCCACACGCCTCCGCGTCGCCTGCAAGGCAGACGAAGGACAGCTCGAAGACAAACCGAGTCCGCGGCAACGCACTCCCAAGCCTCCCATTAATCTCCCGTGGGGCACCAGAGAGTCGCCGAGATGCCCCCGGGGAAAAGAAACAACATCCAGATGCGGCTCTGATACAAGACAGGAGGACAGCTCCAGGACAGCCCACGGCAGGCACCGCCCAGGCTCCACGAGCTTATTTTCGCACACCCAGTTTCATAATCTGGAGGCAGCATCGGTTGAGTCCCCCGTCCACGCCCCCAACTACACGACAACTCTGGAGCCCGGGCAGCTCTTTGGACCCCCAGTCGCAACGGACTCGAGCGAGGGCCCCGGCGGGCTGTGCCGAGCCCGCGCCAGGCCCTTGCGGACATATCGAAAACCACTGCCGAGGGGAGTTCGGACCCACCGCCGCGGTCACAAGCGTTTTCGGCGGAATCCCTCCTAGTACCACGGAACGCAATGACTGGCATTTTACAAAATCTGGACTGCAGCATGCGCCCTGCGCTACAAACGCCTTCGATGGGGTGTCGTCTGATTGGGCGACAACCCGCGGACGCGGCTCGCGGCCTGCGCTGCCAGGGCCTCCAATGGGACTCCAAGAACATGGAGACGCGAACCGCACGAGAAACGGCCCTCCAAGAGTCTGGGCGGCGGCGTGCGGCCTGTGCTCTTTGGGATCTTTGTTGAGCTCCTTCTGGGGCGACCGGCCTTGTGAAAATGGTTCTGGGATGGTCGGCGAGGCGGCGCGCGACCACGACGCGTCGGCAGAGAGGCGCACGGGGCCTTCACGCGCGCTTGACTTCAGGGAGCATCGGCATGCGATTTGCACCAGAGGGACTTCCAATGAAAATCCGCCTGGGGACAACAAACAGCGCGCGGCGCGAAGGGCGTGCTGAAATGGCCTCGGCGTGGGTGCAAACCGAAAGCCCACCGCGCACGATGGAAGGGGATGGACGATGAGTAAACGAAGCGGGGAGGAAGAAAATCAGGACGAGGACGACGAGGAGAGGGGGGGAGAGTAGAGGAAAAAGAATGTGGCGCGAAGCGCCGCAGATTCAAAGCGAGGGCGTAAAATGCGGGAGGGCAGGGGACAAAAGCAAAAAGACATCGAAGGCTACCCGCGGCAAGCGCGCGCGCCGCGCGCGTGCGCGCGCGCGCCAGGCAAACCGGCGGGGCGCACCGGGTACTTTGCACGCGCAAAATGAAAATCACAAAAATACAAGCCGCGCCAAGCAGATAGGATCACCCGCCTACGCGCCCGCGCGATGCTCGCACCGCCTCGCACTGCAAGGAATCCCCCTCAGCGCCGAGCCATCGCGAGGCCTCCGAAGGCACACCGCAGTAAATGTTTCAATGGTCAGCACTGTTTGTGCGGAACGGGACCAGGAGGGGCGAGCGCGGACCTGCTGTTCCCTCTCTGGCAACGCCGGCAATTAGAGCCGCCCAGCTCGCGCGCGCTATGACCATCAACGGAATCACCAGCCTCAGGCCCTACAGACGTGCTGGCATTCGTCGGTTCATCTCGCTTCTGCCCGCGCCCAACAAGGAACTCAACGCGCGCCCGCTCAGGGGCTGCCGCGGACCGCAGCCCTCGACACTCTCCAGAGGCGCGGTGGGTCCGGCCCCGATTAGCTAGTCAGCCTGGACGACATGCACGCCAAACAGCGACCGCAGCAGGACTGCGAAGCAGGACCATTGCAAGAGTGCACAGAAAGGACCTGCTGTGACAAGGACGCACACTGTCCTTGCAGACCCCCTACACAAACAACCGGCCAGGTGCTCATAGGGCGTGCGCGCGTGGACAAGGGGGCAGAGCACAGCCAGGAGGCCGGGAGAAGAGCAAAGGAGCGAAACAGGGACAGTTCCAGACGACGCCTCCGTCCTGTCCGACGCGAGTCTCCCGCAGAAGCCTCCCTTGCAGCCGAAGAAACAATGCTGAACCCATCTCGCGAACCCTCTGGGAAGCCCCTCCCCCAGCGAGCGCGCTCAAGGTACGATGCTGGATAACGGACTGCCCGTGCAACGTGACGGGGAGGCAAGTCAAAAAAAGCGGAGCCGACAGTGGCGGCACTGGCGTCGGTGGCCGCTCCGGGCCGGCGCGACAACCCACCCGCCGCCGGGACGACCGCAACGATAGGGGCGCCCCGCCCCGCCCCCGCCCCACCCCTTGTTGACCCCTTGAGCCAAACTGACTGGGGCCAAATCAAAAAAAAAGGCTCAAACCAAAAAATAGTTTCGCAACCCACATCATTGGAATATGCCTGACGCGACAAGAGCTGCCGTGAAACATGGAAAAATGATGCTGGTGACCGCTGCTTCGCCGATACCCTTGGTGGCGCTGGTCAACACGCCTTGACAGACTGACGCACCATGCAAGCAACAGCCTGGGCCAGGGCGGCAACGGAAAATAACGGGACGGTAGGTAGGCATGCGGGCGTCGCGGACGGCGCACGCCGCGGTGAGGGACCACCCCGTGCGCACCTCATGTGGCGCCCAGAAAGCACAACGCCTGCTGTTCATGGACGACTTAGACCCTGGTGCGCACTGGGGCCGCGCTGAGAGACAACCCCTTGCGCGCCCCCTTTTCTGGTGTCGAGACAGACACTGCCGCGCCTACGGCGCCCCCCCGTGCTGGCACGCCTCGGAGAGCCGCGCGGAGAAACCACACCTTGCGCGCCCTCTCTGGTGTCGGCCACGTACTCCGACCCTGGCCCCCTGCCACACTCTCTAACCCAACCACGCGGGTCGGCCAAGAAATTCCCATCGCCGCGGCAACTCGAAGCATCGTCCCACGCTGGGCCGAGACCACTCGCGCGAAAAGTCCGCCGCAACCCACCCCTGCCGAGCAAAACGCGGAAGAGAAAACACTACAAAAAAACAAACAAACTCCCCAAGGGGGTCCAGAAGAAGACGAACAAAAATAGCAAACAAAAATCCACTCAAGAGGGTCCAGCGCGATAGCATAATGCTGGGGGCGCCCGACTTCGATGCGAAACGTCTGGCCTCGAGAAAGGATCTCAAGGGTGACGCGAGGCGCTGTGGCTCGCTGCTCTGGGTCCCTCCACAGAATTAGCCAAAGAGTCGTTGCAACCCACCTTCCCCTAATGAGCGCCACGCGTGCACAAGAACCTGTCCCGCAAGCCTCGGGCCCATAACTGCTTGGACGGGCCTGGCGCTGCGGCCCCTGCGGCTAGTAGCGGCGTTGTCTAACAGATGAGCGCCTTTGGATCAGGTGGCCATGTCAGCAAAGATATTTCCCAGAGGGGCGCAATCTTGCCTCCGAGACGCCTACTCGCTTTTGCTGGTTCAAACGCAATGTTTGGCAACAGCACCTGGTCCTTCCAGCGTCTGGATAGACAGCCCTGCCCGCGAAAACCGACAATGGACCAACAGAGGCGAAGGTCTCACGCTTGCCCTGCTTAGACGACGGGACTTTGAGACAGGCGAAGCAGGATCGCCAAGTTCGACTAGGGCCACGGGGGCGTTCTGCTTGCCTGGGCCGGGGCGTCGCGCCAACGACATCCCGACGCTCCCCATGGCGGTCCGGCCGACAGCAGCGGTAAGAGACCACGGCATCGGGCAAGGCAGCTAAGCAGAAAGCAGCATTTTGAATTTAACCAAGGAGCAAAAAAACATGCTGCACAAGTCCTACCATTACCGCCGCGACTCTGGCCAACTGCGTCTGCCGACCACTTGCCGACACACGAACCTCAGCAAGTCCAAACTACTTGTATCCATCGAGACGGGTGTCCTAGGCACAAGCACTCTCAACTAGGAGGGTAGCGCACGGGGGCAGGCCACGAACATTTTTTTTTTGCTTGCTGGCCCGTCCTCCACCCGCTTGTCCATCCACCCTGTTAGTTTCCTTTACCCTCTCTCTCGGGCCGGTGGCGTGTCATACCCCCTCCGTTGCTTTGTGCGGTTGCTGCCTCTTTCTCTCTCGCGTTGCACTGCGCTGCCTTCGTTGCGAGCCGTGTTTGTTCTGAGCGTGGCCCCCCACTCAGCGCCCAGAAGGTAAACCTGCGCTTCCTTCGCCGAGGGGCGCCCTGCGCCTGGGGGCCCGGCCCCCCCCCTCCTACTTTTCGGAGAAAGGTGTAGGTGGCAGCCCTGTGCGCGATCAGACACCACCAGGATATTTGCACGATACCAACGAAGACGAGCACACGATGCGCACACGACATGCCAACGACCTCCAAAATGACACCGACACACAATGGATTGCACACGACGTGAAAAAAACAAAACTGTGCTCCACTATATTTGCCAGATTGACAAGCATATTGCTCGGACCACTGCACAGTGGATACTGCTACTACTGCTACTCTGGCCCGGCACGGGGGGGAAGTGCGACGCACCACTCCCAGAGAGAGCTCCTCTCCTCCTCCTCCTCCTCCTCCACCTCCTCATCCTCCTCCTCCTCCTCCTCCTCCTCTTCCTCCTCCTCCTCCTCCTCCTCCTCCTCCTCCTCCTCCCTCAAGCAACTTGGGCTCGAGCATTTTGCTGGAGTCCATCCCTCTGGGCTTCCGCGCAGCGCTTGGGGGATTAGACTTCGGTGCAGGCCAACACACCGCAGTCTCCACGAACACAGAGGGTTCAGTTCAATATTCGCTGCAGCCATGACGGGTACCAAGCAGCAGCAGCTCTGGTCCAGGTGCCCTGGATGCAAGCGGTGTGAGTGGAACAGCATCTTGGCAGGCAGTGGCCGTTATTGCCAGCACTGCAACAAACCCGTGACGTTGTACATGGGCATGAAGAAGGTGCAGTTCAGTGACGACACGTCCTATGATTGTGATGACGGCATGGGAGGAGGTGGTCAGCTGCAGGCGCCTCTCCCGCCAGGCATCCTCAAAGGCCCACGAGGTGCGCCGCCTGGTAGGGGCAAGGGCGGTCGAGGGGCCTCGCCCAGTGCAGCCCAGCTCCTCCAGCAGGCGGCGGCGGCCACGGGCAACCAGCAGGTGCAGCAGGCGTTGCAGGCGCAGATCGCGCCCCTCGAGCAGGAGGCGGCGGCGGGCGCCAAGGCTCAGGAGAGCCCAGCCGACGCCATACGTCGGGCGGAGGGCGCTTGGCGCAACGCCGAGCACCTCCACCAGCAGGCGGCGCAGAGCGTCCTTCGCCTCCGCGGCAATCTGGCAGCGGCGGAGGAGAAGGAGCAGCAGGCCGCCTTGGCGCTGGCGCAGGCCGAGGAGGCCAAGCGCAGCGCGGCGGTGGCCCACGCGCAGGCGGCAGGCATCCAGCCTCCGCCGGCGCAGGGTGGCCCATTGTTCCAGGTGCAATGGGGCGAAAAGTTTTTCGACGCGATCGACGAGCTGGAGCCGTCTGAGGGCGAGAAGACGGCACTGCAGGCGCTCCAGAAGCAGCTGCAGAGCGTGAAGACGCAGATGGAGGAGAAGGAGGCCGATGTGCAGACGTGGTTGCAGCAGCTCCAGGAGCAGAAGGCGGCGCTGACGGAGCGCATGGCCAAGAAGCGGCGCAGCACCAGCGGCGGTGCCACACCAGGCGGCGGCGGCGGGCCCCCCACTCAGGAGGGGCAGGCGGCAGGCGGCGGGGGTGAGGCATCGGCGGGCCCAGAGGCGGCGGCGGCTGCGGCGGCTTCTGAGGATCAGAAGAAGGACGAGGAACATCAGGCCAAGATGAAGGAGGCAGCCGAGCGCATCTCACGTGCGAAGTTCGAGGCGGAGCAGCTCAAGGCGAAGCCCAAAGGGAAGGGCGACGCTGCGAGTGGTGCTGCAGCTTGACTAGATGTAGCAGGTTCGCCTTCTCCCGCACAAGAGAAGGCAGGGGAGCCTGACGATGGTATTGCCAGGTTGTTCTATGCGAATATCACGATGCTGTCAGACAAGTCGTGGAAGTACATCAGCGCTCGGGCTGGTCAATATGAATTTTGGGGCCTCGTCGAGACTCGCGTTCACAATGGGTCGGAGATACGAGACTGGTAGGCTAAAGCTCGTGCGTGCAAACTGAGACTGCACCACAACGCTGCTCGACCCACGAACAAAGCTGTGGCTGCAAAGGCTGATGGGGCGCTCCAGCGAAGGGGGCGAAATCATGCTGTCGCAGCGTCATTTACAGATGCACGTCCTCCAGGAAGCCAAGATCGCGTCTCGTCACCTTCGTGAAGGTCGGCACAAGGCGCTCGACGGCTTCCTGCCCACTGTCATTCACATGACAGGATATTCTTGCATAATTATTTTGCTGCATGGTCACCCGAGCATCGGCATGCGGTCCAAGAACAGCGCCCGCTTTCATCGGATCGGTGCATTAGTACAGTCGGTCAAGATGCCATGGGTGATCATTGGCGATTTCAACATGTCGTCGAAGGTTCTCGAGCAGTCCAGCTTCGTGGCCAAGATCCACGGGGTTGCGCGCACGGCCCAACATCGAGGGCACTTGCTCGCAGAAACAAGGTTCTGGCACCACGCTTGATTACATAATAATGGGTGAGTCTGCAGTGCCATTCGTGCGAGATATTTCTGCTGTCAAAGATGCCCCTTGGAAGCCTCATTGTGCACTAGTGGTGAGCTTACGCTCCTCCGCCCTCCAGCTGATGACTCGTGTTCTAGAGTTCCCAGCGAAGCTACCTCAATGTCCTCGGCCTCGGGCGGGGCCCAAGGAAGGCTCCAAGCCCCAGAGACAGAAAGCGAATTTGCAGATTGTTCGTGCGGAGGCTCTTGCTCGTCGCAGGGAAAAGTTTCGCACCCTCTTTGGAGATGTCCTCGAAGATCGGAGCTCTCAGCCTCACCCGCCGCCCGATGGCCTGGTGGCCCCTGCTTTCCCCGAGGCCCCCGATCCTGACGAGGTTGAATTCGAGTTTGGCGAAGAGGAGGACCCATGGGCCGATGAGCCCAACTTCAGTCCTGACCCGTCACCTTTTGCTGCTGCTCATGCTGAGCCTGCTGCTCCTGCTTTCCCCTCCCCGCCAGAGGCCCCCGTCCTCTGGCCTGGCGGCGAGGCGAACGGCACAAAGGTGGACAGCGCTCAGAGGGCGCAGGTTTTGAACATGAACTCCCAGGCGGGCGGGCCCCCACTGCATCGGGTGTAGGGTCTGCCAGCCTTTCTTCGAATTCAAGTAGCGTTTCAACTAATCCTGAAGTCAGGCAGCCTATAATATAAACATGGGAACCAGCCCCCCCCCCCCCCCCCCCCCTCCCCCCCCTTTTTTCCCACCCCCCCCCCCCCACCCCCCCCCCCCCCCCCCCCCCCCCCCCCCCCCCCCCCCCCCCCCCCCCCCCCCGCACCCCCCCCCCCCCCCACCCCCCCCCCCAGAAGTTTCAAGTCCGCCCTGGTGAGCCCCCTCCTGCGACCATTAACTTTTATGTCCCAGACCAGCTGTGGCACGATTGTCGGGTCCACGTGGGCTTCACCCCAGAGGCTTCTCCTGTCTCCTCGGTCCCCCCCCCCCGCCGCTGTCCTCCGTAGCCTTTTCGCTCGCACAAGAAAGTTGCACAATTGTTTCGGGAATGTACGCTTCGTGGGCCGAGACCGCGGAGAGAGCGATCTTACACCATCATGGGCTGTAGTCTGCAGCGTCGTCTACTTCGGTTTCACGCACCAGTGGGCCCAAGTTCACGGTGAAGGCGTTGCGGCAGGCCCAACACACTCGTGATGTGCCCCTGCGTGGCCAGAAGGCGCAATGACGGACGCGTGCCCACACCGTTGTACAAGGCATACATCGTCATCGTGCGAAGGGAAATGGTCCCAAGCAGAGTGTGCAGTACACCGTGGCGTGCAGTCGTCTTGTTGGATGCAGGCCAGAGGGAGTGCATGCACTTCTGCGTGATGGTCGTTCCACCATGGCAGCAAGTTCTACACGTTTTGAATCAGCCGTGCCAGCTTGCGCCCCCCCTCCTTGAGTCGTTCGTCGACATTGCCAGGAGGGTCAAAGATCGAGCGCAGCGGGCTGCGGCACGCAATTCCTTGGAAGAGTTCAAGTCCTGGGTTGTTGAGCCGTCGGCGCTGGGGGTCCTTCACAGATCTCTCAAGCCGCAACCACTCCCTCCGAATGAGGTCTTGGGCAGCAGTAGCAATGTAGTTTTTCATCATCGTGATATTATGGATTGCAAGCGACGTGTTTACTAGAAGTTATGGGCACCCACGGCAATCGATCGGGCAGGTACAGTTGAGCCTTTTCGTCAAACCAAGCAGGCTGCCCAGTTGGAACCGATGGAGTCAATTACCACAGCAGACATTTATTATGCTTCGGGGAAGATGAAGCCTCGAGCAGGCTTAGGCGTCGATGTGTTCACACCGCTGGACGATCAACGCTTGCCGATTGCAGAAGTATGTGAATTGGCCCTGATATTGAACGCAGTGGAACAGCAGCTCGCATGGCCCGTGCAGACCATGCTCATTATGTGCCGTCTCATTCCAAAGAAGGTCGTCACCAAGGACAGGGCCATCGGGCTCGTCTCAATGTTGGGGCGCTTGTGGTCGCTCATCAGAGAACCACATGTGCAAGATTGGTCTAAGGACCATACGGAGACGTGGGACGCGGCGGTGGCTGGCGACTCGTGTCCCAGGGGGGCCCACCTCAGGGCCATCGATGAGGGGCTGGCGCGCACCATGGGGATGAATTATGGGCATGCTTTGACGGACGTCCAGGGGTTCTACGATTCCATCCCATGGCACTTGCTTGCCAGAGCAGCGTTGAGATTATCATTATATCTGGAACTTCTGCCGTGTATTTTTTTGTCTGGCTTTATTGCAGGACGGTGCTGCGACAAATCCAATTGAACCATCCCGCTCGGTGGTTCAAGGATTAAGAAGTGACACCAGATTCGCACGCATCCTGACACATTTCGTCATGCACAAAGTCACCCAAGCGAGCCCCCACATGGGGCATCGCTTGTGGGTTGACGATATATCGCAAAAGGTTGTGGGCTCACGGCAAGAAGTGGTGCACAGTCTCATCAGATGTATTGTGAATACGCGTCGTGAACTTGCTGACCAGAAGTTGAAAGTATATCCGAAATCTGTTGTTCTATGCACGCATAAGGGGGATGCGGTCACGATTGTACGTGCTGTACGGATTCGTGGATTTCGGGTTCAGGTTGTCCAGCAGGCTCCATACCTCGGCATCGACTTCAGCTGTGGTCGGAGAGGAAGAGCCACACGCACGGAGAGAGATCGCAAGCACAAACACATGAGTGCGAAAACCAAGGGGTTTTCCGCAATCATCCAAGAGATAGCATCAAATTTCTCGCCTCGGGAAGGCTGGTGGACAACCTGCTGGCACGTGCGGATTTCAAATTCACGGTGTGGTTGGCAGCCGTCTCCGTGACTGCCGACGACGCCTCGCAGGAGCATGTGCAGCACCAACGGCAGGGAGATGTCTCACTACGTTGTTGGAGTTGCGAGCCCCTCAGGGCGATCCTGCCATCGCGTATCCTGTTCGGCATATCGATACTTGGCTCACGATATGGCAGGCGCATCCTGATCTTCGGCGTGGCGTGGCACGTGTGCGGGAGCGGGTGGTCGCATCATAACAGGGGACCTCACCGAGGGACCAGATTAAGAGAGTGCAGGGCTCCATCTCGGCGACGGTGCTTCAGTTGCTTCGTGTAGATTGGCAGCCACTGACACATTGTGCCTGGTCTTTCCAAGGGGACAAGGGCACGGCGGAGGTGTGGCAGTTTCCAGATCACATCTACACGGGCAATAAGTGGTTGGATGCTCATGCTCCTCTGTTGGCGGGTGTCAGACACACGGCTCGGCGGCGATTGTGGCAACATGCCGAGACTCATTATTGTGGAAGTGGGCTAGCTGGAGGAGTTGACTCAGAAGCATATCGGCTTTTGCTCAAACAACCGGGGGCACAATATTCTCG